GGTACTGCGACCAAAGCCAACCACCAGTAGTAAACAAGAAGAAGAAGAAGCGAAGCAGCATAGCCAGGTTTAGCAGAAAAAAATATGTTGTTACGGAGAATTGTGTCGGAATGGCGAGTGGAAAAGAACAGGAGTTGGAAGACGCGCCAGCAGCACTTTATAGGTCTGCTGTATGGGACCACTTTGCATTTAGAGTGACCTACGATGACGGCGGAAAGAAAGTTGGGGATAAAAACAGTGTGCAAGCATTGTGCAACACGTTTTGTTTATGCTAACAGCAACATGCCCAACATGTCAGGCTAACAATCGACATATACCGAACCGAAAACCGTGGATTTTGTGAACCGTTCCACCCCTAGCAGACATGCTGCTCTGTCAGGCTGTAATAAGTGCCATAAAACCTGACCTTATCCAATGAAATGTGTCGATATCAATTGAACGCCAACATGAGCTCTGTGTGTCGCTCATTAATCTCAAAGTGAACGTTCATTACTTCAAAACTTATCCATTTAGTTTACCTTTCACTAAAATTATGACTGTGTTCATTGAACGCCGTTCACGCACAACACTGGTGCCTAATATTCCGGTTAACTCTAGTTAACCGGAATATTAGGAATGCCAGATGTGTCTGCCAAAGGTGACTGAACTGGCAGCATTCAATAACTCCACATCTAATCTGCGGAAGCATGTTTTGGTAAGTATTCAGTGCATTGGTACTTCAAACAAAGTTTTTAAGTTTTCGTGACTAATAGCCAATTAGCAAAACAACCTGTTTCGTGGCATTGCTAATTTTGTCTAGCACAGGGGTTGGCAATCCGCAGCTCTTTTATCCTTGCTGATGAAGGTTTTCAGTCATCCAGGTCATAGTCATTCCGTAAAAATTCAAAAAATATCCACTGCACTTGGTTTCCAAGATTTGAAGACGTTTCGCCACCTCTCCAGGAAGCTTTCCCAATTTGAATTGAGGTGGCGAAACGTCTTCAAATCTTGGAAACCAAGTCCAGTGGATATTTTTTTAATTTTACGGAACTCTTTCATCCTTATACTGCGGCTCTGACTGGCTTGGGAAAATAAATTGCTAAAAAAAAACAACGAAGTATTTCATTTAAGTTGGTGTTTCCCACAGCACTATCTTGGCGAGGTTGGCAACAGTTTTTTTTTTTTAAATGTAACTAAGTAACTTTTACTTAAAATACATTTTAAATTAGCTACTTATTACTTTTACTTGAGTATTTTTTCTGATGGGTAATTTTACTTGTACTTGAGTAATATTTCATCCAAGTATTGGTACTTTTACTTGAGTATGATATTTTAGTACTTTTTCCACCTCTGGTTTTATGTTGTTTTATGTGTTGTTTTTCACATTTGAGATGCAAGTGTTTGACTGTGCTTCTATTTTATTTTTTCTGAGGTGGTCAATAAGCGGACCAGTGTAGATGGCAAAAATGCAGAAAATCGTTCCCAGTCCGACCCTCTTTATCAGAGAAATGATACATATGTGTGGCAGAGTTTGCACATTTCTATTTGGAATAAGGATGTAAGTGCATTTCTGGGGTTTTATCCAAAAAATCTAATATTTTGAAGTTTATTTTTTAGGTGAAATACATCATTCGTAATGTTACCTCACCAGATACTGACCTATCCAGAAAGGCTTTCTTCCACTGAAGTCCCACAACCAGTTCATGTCAGCTTTAGACAAAACGCTTGCAAGATTTCCTTTAAACCTGATATTGAAAAACATTAAAGGTGAATTGCAGAAAAATAAATAAATAAAAGAGTTCATTTAGAGGAAATCCAATGAATTATGTGCGAGTAATTTGCACAAAGAAGGATGTTTAACGATACCTTTCTCTGCAGGCCCTGTTTGCTGCATTCCATGTCAGCTTGTGCTCAGTGCTGAGAATAAAACAACGTCCTCCTTGAAAAGTCCATCCCTGAGGACACATCCTGGCACCAACCAGCTGTAGAAACATGGAGACATAAGCATATAAGTTCAACTACTTTTAGACTAGCCAGCCTTCTCATGATTCCTTTGAAAATTGGTGCTAACATACATCTGTGTATTTCAACCAAAAATATACCAAAAATAAGCTCTAAGTCATACTCACAAATACGAAGATGCATTCTCTGTGAAATGTTGCAAAGAAACCACAGACTTCTTATAAACATGAAAAAGCTTTTTCTATAATTCTCACCAATCTTTCCACCAGAAAATGATAAAGCTTTATGTTTCTAAAAGAG